TGCGACCTTTCAAATCATTTGATCTCCTTAGTTCCAGATTCACAACTTATTAAATTGCATAATAATAATAACACCCATCTTAAAAGGTATTCAAGGAAATAGGGATGCATATAAAGGTTTTGTCATTAAAAAGCCTGACACAGGTGAGTACTCCATAGCATCTGTCATCACCATCACTATCAAATTCCCTACAAATACTACACAGAAGGCAACTCTTTGAAATATTAACTATAAAAATGGTGTATGTATAGACATGTAGTATTTACAAGCTACCTTGGGTTAGGGTCCCTGGGAAACAGACACTGAGACCAAGGTTTCCATGCGGGGAAGTACCCTGGGGCTCAACACCTTCGGGAAAGTGAAGAAAGGACGGGATGAGGAGGAGGTGAACTGTGATGCAGTCCTGCGGGCCTCAACACGTCCCAGAGGTGCCCTGGAGCTGGGAGGACCCTTCAGACTGTCCTGCCTATCCTGATGCTCCTGTCCCTCCCACTCCCCATGGGAGGTGTGGCCTTGGGGGAATCTGCTCGCTCAGCAGAACTCCCAAAGGACCTCAACTGAGATCTTTCAGCCAAGCAAGAAGCCCATTCCCGAAGGGATGGAACTGGGTGGCTCATCACAGCATCCGCTATACAGGCACTGATCTTTTTGTTTTATTTTAATTTTATACTTAGAAAGGGACTGAATTTAGGATAAGGGGGAAGGATTTTAAAGCACTCAAAAATATAATTTAATTAAATACGACTGATACTTGAACAGTGCTGATCACAGAACAGGAACCTGAATAAATATTATTTCCCCCATCTACCTCTCAAACTTATTTGCCACATTTCCTACACTCTAGCCTTCCTGGATTTTTCTCAATTCCTGCTTAATTTTTCTGTTTAGAGGGTCTTTCTACCCACCGTACCACCCCAGCTCATTGTTCATTTGACTCTTTAATTCATATCTTCTTTGAACCACCTATCTGATTTCCTGATTATCTGTATTGCAGCACCTCGTTTGATTCCTTTCTTGTCCTTTTTCACTACTTTCTTATCATTTGTTTCCCTGTTAACTGTGTGTCTCCTTGATTAGACTGTAATGAGTATAGGAACCATATTTGTTTTGCTTACCATTACATACCCAGAGCATAGGCCCCCAGTACATATGTGCTGAATGAATGAATGAGGGAGGGAGGGAATGAGTGAGAGTTCTATGATCAGTGAGGGAAATGCTGTGTCTTATAGAGACATAACAATACCTACTTGCCCTCCTCAGATCTAGACAGTTTACACCGTGGATAGTATTAGTTTAAACCCATATTTATTTTCTTGGTTCTGAAAATAATTTCATATACTAGCCAGGGCACATATATTCTTCTCTTAGTGAATCTTGGAAATGTGTCTGTTAATAATAAATGTTTGGCTTAAAACATATGGACAAAGAAAATATCTTTGTCAGTCATTCAACTGTTTGTTTTTAAATGCAGATGGTTATATCATTTATATAATTAAGAATATTTAACCAAAGAGAATAATGAATTGTTTAATTTATTGTCCTTTACATGCTCAGTAGTAAAGTATTATAGTAAATTATAAAGGTAGCCCAGAGTAGTGTAAGTGGTTTTTTAAAAGCACTC